TTTTATCAAAAAAAGGAAGGAACATGCAGGCACATGCACCTTGAGCTGGAGGTGACTACTCCAAGTCACTGAACTTCAACACTAAAAGAAAGTTTGTCAGGTCCTGGTGTGGTTGCTCATGCCTGTAATAGAGCTTCGGGACACCCAGGCAGGAGGATCACTTGAGGTCAGGAATTCAACACCAGGCTAGGCAACATAACAAGATCCCCAACTCTACAAAATTTTCTAAAATTGGCTGGGCATGGTGGTGCATGCCTGTAGTCCCAGATACTTGGGAGGGTGAGGCAGGAGGATTGCTTGAGTCCAGGAGTTTGAGACTAGCCTGGGCAACATAGTAAGACCTTGGTCTCATAAAAAATAAATTCATGAATGTGTCAAAACTCATCTAACTGTTTACTTAAAAAATGTGTGTGTTACTGTATGTAAATTATACCTCAGTGGAGTTGGTTAAAAAATAATAATAAAAGAAGGAAGGAGTGTACACTTTGGAAAAGGCTGTAGCTGTCTCTCCTAAAGCTAAAATCCACCAACTCAAGAAGGATCACAGTGGTGTCATGTGTAGTAGCCCCGAACTGTCAGCAATGCCCCTTTCCATCGGCAGGAGAACCATAAATAAACGATGGTGTATTTACATAAGAGAGCACATAGCTATGAAGTAGAATCATGGACATATACAACAGACACAGCCCACAGGATGCACACAGCATGACGTCAGACACTACCTGAAGTGTGCACGATCCATGACTCTCCTTAGATAAGTTCAAAACCTGATAACAGGGATCTACAATGACGGAAATCAAAATAGTGGTGATCACTGGTGCAGGGAAGTAACTTGACTTGCGGGAGCAGAAGGAGCGTTGGAGGTGCTGGGAAGGGTCCCCAGGCTGACCTGATGTATGGCTGCATAGGCGTGTGGAAATGTAAATTTCCATGAGCCCTATACAGGGGCCCAGTGCCCTTTAGGATAACAAGATGCATCTCAATAACAAAGAAAGAAAGGAAGAGGGAGCAGCCCATGCTTCCCCAGGGTCATCCAGGGTCTAGATTCTGGGCCTCCCCTGGCAGCGCCCCTCCCCACCGGCACTGCAGCTCTGTGCATAGCCCTGGACATGGGCAGAATGTGACAGAACTGGAGCTGCGCCCACAGCAGATAGGCTGGCAGGGGTGAAGGGGCTACCAGGGGCTGGAGGAAATAAAATTTAAGCTGAGCACAAGGCCGCCCTCCCAGGCAGGGTAGATGGCATGCTGTCTTGGCACTCTGGGCTAGAGAATGGGTACCAAACACAGGCCACATCAAAGAGCAGCAGGCCCTTACCTGACTGAACAGTGGGAACCCTGCCAACTGCTCCCTAGCGGAGGGGACAGTGCTGGAGCCCAGCAGAGCCTTGCAGCCACCTCCAGAGAGACCGCAGAAGCAGGCAGGAGCTGAGGGGATCATCTTGGACCAACCTGCCCTCCTCCCACTCCTCATTTTTAGAGCCAATGCCAGGCCAGTAGAGGCACTGGCTCTGCCTGAGCCTCAGCTTTCTCATCAGATAATTGGGAATGAGGTTCTCACAAGAATAAGAGAGCATATATCGGAAGTACCTAACACAGGGCCCAATGTTCACCAAGTGGGGAAACTGAGGCCCAGAGAGCAGACACACCACACTCCAGGTAGGCCAGGCACAGTGGCTCATGCCTGTAATCCCAAGACTTTGGGAGGTGGAGCTGGGAGGATTGCTTGATCAATTTCTTCCTCATCCCCTGCTCTGGGGTCTCCAGAACGCAGTCCCTCCCACAGTTGCTCTTCGTCTTAGCCCAAACCATCTCCTCTCTCCCACCTCCTCTGTCCACACAGCATGTTCCAGGCACGCGCCACTCTCCACAGCACCCTATGTTCAAGGTGTCCCTCTGTCCCGGAACCCCTATCATCTGAGGCTGGGAAAGGGTGATGGCATTTACCTATAGGGCAAGGGGGCTCCCCATGGTCACTCCTAGCTGCTGCTCTCGTCCTGCGGGACAGTCCCACAGCATAGGTCTGATTCGCAAGTAACCCCGGTGAGATCATCGAGCTCCTTTAGCCCTAGTTTCTCCAGCTGTGAAATAAAACTCTCCATTCTGTCTACTCAGAGGGTGGGACAATGGGTGTGAAAAGATTTTCTAGGCGGCTACCTGGAGGGCTGAACATAGAGCAGAGGGCGATGCTGGCTGAGTCTGATTTTTATACCAACTGGACAGAATATAGTCTTCCTCTTTCTTCCTCGCCTCCTGGCTCAGCTGCCTCAGTCTCCCGAGTGTGACCCTGACATTTATGCCGTATACTATCCTCTACAGGACCCCCACCACACGGAATGCTCCTCCTGATCTGGAGATGGCTTCTGTTTTGATCGAAACCGTTGGTGCACCCCAGAGCCCCCCACTGCCACGCCCACCCCTTTGATGTGGTGAGCTCTTGGCAGCCTCACCCTCCATGCCAGCCGCAATGCACTCCCTCCAGGGAGCCATGAAAGCCTCGATCTCCAGGGGCCCAGCCACAGCCCTTCCAGACAGTCTTTTTCTTCCCAGGATGGCCAGGTCTCTTTTCAAAACTGGTGGAAGTCCACGTGGGTCTTTATCATGCAGATGACCTCGGAGGTGACCATTCCACACTCCCAAACACCTCAACAGTATTTGATTGACAGCCCACACCCTTTCTGGTGTCCGTTCTCTCCTACTGATTAATGGCCCCTTCCTGACCATCCTCCCTACACATCCTGCCATTCAGTCAACCACAGGTTTTAATTTAGATAATACTGACAAGAAAAAAACACAAACATGAAAGTTATCTGCACTCACTGTCACCTCAGGAATCAGCGTATTCCCTGCAGACAAACTTTTCAGTACCTGCACAATTATTTATGTATTTATTTATTTATTTATTGAGACAGGGTCTCCCTCTGTCACCCAGGCTGGAGTCCAGTGGCGCAATCTCAGCTCACTGCAACATCTGCCTTCTGGGTTTAAGCAATTCTCCTGCCTCAGCCTCCTGAGTAGCTGGGATTACAGGCATGCCACCACAGCCCAGCTAATTTATTTATTTTTAGTAGAGACGGGGTTTCACCATATTGGTCCGGCTGGTCTCAAACTCCTGGCCCCAGGTAATCCACCCACCTCAGCCTCCCAAGGTGCTGGGATTACAGGGATGAACCACCATGCCCAGCCACAAATTTTTGTATACACGAAATTAGATCTATTATGATACATAGGTTTTTAATAATCTACTTTTTTCACCTAATCTATTGTGAAATTTTGCTCATGTCCTTAAAAAAATTACATTCCAGAAGAATCATTAATGACTGCACATGGTTAATGGTTACAGTATAGTCTAGCTGTACCATCATTTATACGGTCTTGCACATTTAACTTTTTCAAGTGTGGCCCCCCTTACAAGCAGTGCTGCTTGGAGTCTGATGGCTAATCTTGGGCACATCTGTGATCATGATTGCCTTAGAAAAATTTCCTAGCAACAGAATTGCTGGGGATGAGGTACGCAAAACATGAAGGCTTTTGAAAAACAAGCACCTACATGACTCACAATTTGTGCAAAATTGGTTAGGGGTAGCAGGTAGAGAAAAAACCAAAGCAAGAGGAATCAGCATTCTGAGGAGGGGTCTCTGCATACACCAGACCCAGACACCACGGAAGTGCCACATGGGGCAGAGGCTTCCAAAGCCCTGAGCTGCCCTGAACGTCAGAGCTGGAAGGGACAGCGCAGACTCTAATACAATTATCTGTATTAGGAATGGGGAAACTGAGGCTCAGAGAGGCACCACCCAGGAAGGGGGTGACCTCAGTACTGGAATCTTTCCAACACAGCTTTGTGCTTTGTTTGAAGTGGGCCCAAGGTGGCAGGCCGAAGGAGAAGAGCCCAAGGTGGCAGGCCGAGCGTGGGTATGAAAGTGTAAACCATTTTCCCTCACCTCCCAAGCAGAGGTGGATGGGAGGGGGTGAGGAACGCTGAGGAGGCCTCCAGCCGGCCTCACACAGGTAACAGCAGCAGTAGTGACCCATTTGAGCCCCCATGGTGTGCTAGGTGCTAGTCCCAGGACTTTGGGTCTGTTATCACTGAATCCACACATAAAATGAGCGACAGGGGCACTGTGGCTTTGTGAGAGATGCTCGCTCTCATTTGCACAGAAAGGAGTTCATGCAAGTCTTTTTATTATTATTACATGTCACTGCAACAGGGTCTTGCAGTGGGGGAGAGAGACTGGACTCAACTCCCCACTTATGCAAGTCTTAATCCAAGTGGAATCTCTTCTCTGGATTTCTAGAGTGGCGGGTGAGCGGGGCGGGAAGCCTCTTCTCCATAATGGCAGTGGTTCTCACACTTCAGCGTGTGCCCGATTCTCTTGGTGGGGAAAGGGGGAAGTATTCAAAATGCACATTCCAGGGCCCTCCCTGAGATCTTGATGCTGTAGGTTTTGCACAGGGCCTCCAAGACCAAATTCTCTTTTTTAGAGACAGAGTCTTGCTCTGTCGTCCAGGCTGAAGTGCAGTGGTGTGATCATAGCTCACTACAGCCTCCAATTCCTGGGCTCAAGTGATGCTCACGCCTCATCCTCCCAAGTAGCTAGGACTACAGGCGTGCGTCATTACACCTGTCTAGTTTTTATTGTTATTATTATTTTTTTGTAGAGACAAGGTCTTGCTGTGTTGCCCAGGCTGGTCTTAAACTCCTGGCCCCAAGCCCTGCCCGCCTCAGCCTCTCAAAGTGCTGGAATTACAGGTGAGCACCACCACGCCCAGCCAGAGCCTGCATTCTTAAAGGCCCCTGAATGACTACCACGCAGGCTGGTCCAAAGACCCCTCCCTCTCTGGGAAGCACTGAAGACAGTGCGGTTGGTTTTCATACTAGGATCCTGACAAAGTAACCTGTACTAAAGTTAGCACAGTAGATATGAGGCTTACACCGAGAAAGGGTCGCTAATAAAGGGAGGGGACATCAGACCGACATTCCCCCAGTAAAGCCACAGATTTGTAATTCATTCATTCCTTTGCAGATTTCAGGACCTCACAACAGACCTTACGACATTCGCCCAGTAGATGGCGCTAGCTCATTTTAAACCCCGTTTGTAGAAGATGCCTGAAAGCTCAAGCCAGAGGGAGCCGCAGATACAGAGAAAGGGCAAGACAGAGCCCATTATGAGAGAGGACAACCCCAAACAGAAATGGCCAACTTAACTAAGCAGCTGTCCCGAAATGACTCAGAGGAAACTTAATCCGTCTTGGATGTAGTGTGTAATCTAGTGTGTTGCCCCGACTGCCACACTGGCTTTCAAAAATCCATGCTACCTCCCAAGCCTGGGTTCTGGTTGCCGCTCGGAGTTCGGGAGCTGAGATCTGGGACAGCGCCATAACCAGTAATGACCACAAGATGGTGCTGCTGCACTCAGGAGGACAAGATGCCTGCGAAAATCTCAATCTCAGAAAACCATCTAAAGACTCCAGAGTGTGCCTCAAAATAGGATCGTGGAGGGAGATGAGAGGCAGAAAGAGACCTGCTGATTAGACTTGCACCCTGTCTCTCAAGTTCATGTTTACGATGTTAGTACTAATGCTGCTGCTGCTGCCACTGGTGGCTGCTGTTTACTGAGGGGCTACGGAGTGCCAGGCACTGTGATAAGCACTTTCCGTGCATGGTTTCATTCAAAGTTCATCAAAGCCCGAGGAGGGGAGTTCTACGATGTCTCCACTTCTGAGAGGAAGCATTATGTGGGGAACTAGAGACGGAGATGTCTTGTGCTTTCTCGAAAGAAATGGGGACAGTGATCTAATTCTGAGCACAAGGACAATAGTGAGTGGGGCTTCTACGAATAAAAGGCTGAAACAGCCTGGACAACATAGTGAAAGCCCCTCCCTACAAAAATGTAAAAAGTCAGCTTGCGTGGTGGTGTGTACCTGCAGTCCCAACTACTCAGGAGGCTGAGGCGGGAGGTTTGTGCCAGGCACTCATCAAGGTGGTAAGGAAAGACAATTGAAGGGACTCCGGGAAGTCCTGAGGAGCCCACGATGAGCCATGCGGCCAGGGGATCAGTGCTGTGGAGAAAATGAAGCGCGCAGGAGTCTATAAGTGCCTGTAGGTGCGTTTGAGATGATGGCAGAAGTAAACTGGAGCTGGCATCCATGGCTCACAAGAGCCCATTATAAAATTTTCAGGAATTTTGCGAGTCAGTTCTTGGATGGATCTATTATCGAATTATTAAACTACCAAATTATATAAACTTAAAATGAAATTATATTTAAAACAAAGGTAACAAATACTCACAACTCATTACTTCCTAACTATTTTACATTTTACCATTTTCTATGCCAAAGGTAAGCAAACTGTTTCTGGGAAGGGCCATTTAATGACTGTGTGAGCCATAAGGGTTCAGTCAAAACTATTTGACTCAGCCATTGTAGCACAAAAGCATTGATAATATAGACTGAACATCTCTAATCTGAAAATCTTAAATGCTCCCTAATCCAAATATCTGAAATGCTCCAAAATCCAAAACTTCTTGAGCACCAACATGACACTCAAAGAAAACGCTTGTTGGAGCATTTTGGATTTTGGATTTCTGGATTAGGGATGCTCATCCGGTACTGCAAATATTCCCAAATCCAAAAACATCTGAAACCTGAAACACTTCTGGTCTCAAACATTTCAGATAAGGGATATTCAGCCTGTACTTAGATAAATGATCATGACTGTGTTCCAATCAAATGTGGTTCATAAAATCAGGTGCTGAGCTGGTTTGGTTCATAGGCTGCTGTCTGACACCGTGGTTCGTGCCCAGGTATTTATTGTATCTGTATGGTGGAAACGCTATGTACTTGTGTTAATCCCACTATGTAAGTCTTCCCTAGTTCCTTCAAAGGTGTCATTTTGGTAGCTTGCAATTGGCCGTGATGGGGGTATTTATACCACCAAATGAGCAGAGGCTACAAACAGGGTTGCCTCTCAGCCCCCAAGAGTTGGTTGTTAAACATTTGCCAGCACGCCCCGACTAATGTGGTCTGTGAAGGCCTCTTTAGGGAGGTGACCTCTGAACAGAAACCTGAAACTGCACTTAGTCCTTCCAACCTGCAGCGGCCCATCCCACCCCCAGTGGGCGACCTACAGGGCACAGTTCAGAAATACGTCGGAACAAAACAGTCTGAAGTTTGCAGAGATGGCCAGACCCCACAAAATACACATTTGTTTAAAACACAATATATTCCAATGTCATCGCCCCACCACGCACTAACCCAGGAGTATCCTCGCCTCTCTGGAGCCAATAAGAAGGCACAGCTAAGAAGTCACTCTTCATGGCCTGAGGCCTGACTGCATTTACTGCAGGCTGCTGAGTCCTGCCTGCCACCAAATAGAACCTGCAAGGCAAGGCCTGAGGGGTCGCTTCCAAAGTCTGCTAAAGTTGGGGAGGGCTGGAGGAGAGGGACACAGGAAGGCATCTCCAGTACAGTCAACTTCGCCAACTCTTCAAACCCCAGTGTAACTTCAAACTACTTACTTTGGAAAAGGCCATATTGGGTGTGAAAACAGGTTTGTGTGTTATTTGTAAGGTGACTTCATACACAGAATTTAAAGGTTTTCATTAACTTCTAGTAAAGTGGTACAGTCAGAAGAGTGGACGCAACTTGCACATTTCAGTCACACTTTTGTAATAAGGGTCAGCCTGCTGGGTGAATTACACTATTCTTATAATATCCCTTTCAGTCTCCACTCATCTAATTACTCTAATTAGACCTCAGAATCGACCTCCTCTCCAATCAAATCCACACTCCAAGGGGTCTACTGACGCTGGCAGCCCACGGAGACCTGACTGCCCACAGTTCAGCGCGAAGACAGGCTCGAAAGCTTGCCCCAAAACAGTCCCTCCCCAAGAATTCTCCTACCTTCTTTCTTCCCTAATCAACTTGGTGAGCTCTCTCTTTTCTTTTTATACATTTGAGGTTTATCTCTGAAATATTTCCTAAACAAAGAGAATAGCACCGTCATCATGCCCCTTTAAGGATATCTTTACGTCCTCTTCACAAATAGTGAAATTTTCATCCTACTTCTAAATTATCTGTCCCGCCTCTGGAACACATTCCTCATATGTTCCTCGGGCACTTCCTTAAGGGACTGGGCTGGTAGCTTTACAAGAAATTTTCTACTTTCCCCCGAGGAGCTTGTTCATATCCACATTCTCTTTCTCGAGGGCAGAATGTTCCACCAGGGAATGCCAAGTTGATTCTGTCTCCCTCAGAAAACTCCATTCCTCCTGACAATTTGTTCCCAATCCTGGCTGCGCAGAGTCACAAGGAGTGGGGACTATGAGAAAGTGTGCCAACCCTTGAACGTGACAAGGAAGAGCAGTGCTGTCAGAACAGCATTGTTTGGCCATCAGCATGTATATCCACCCATGGGGTTCTGAAACAGAAATGCATAAGGAGCTTTGACAAGGACCCACTCCTGGCCCTATCTTCAGATTCCAATAGGTCCGGGGTGCACACAGGCACTGGCGTCTTTAAAATCTCCCTGTGTGAATTCAACATGCAACCAGGATTGAATGGAGAACTGCTGCTCGAAGGCAGTGCACACACGTTCTTCAGGTGATAATGAGGGACAACATGCCTCAGCAAGTCAGGAAAAGGGGCTTAGGGGAGGGCCAGTGGCTCCTCCTTTTCAGCCAGGCCAGCTTTCTTCTGACAAGGACTTGTTTTCACTTAACTGTCCAGATCCGCACAAGGGCACAAGGAATGTGCTGTCACCGTCACATTAACAGACCCAGAGTCACAAGGAGTGGGGACTATGAGAAAGTGTGCCAACCCTTGACTCTGACAAGGAAGAGCAGTGCTGTCAGAACAGCATTGTTTGGATATCAGCATGTATATCCACCCATGGGGTTCTGAAACAGAAATGTTCTTCAATGTACTGTTAATACCACTATTACAAACTCAGACCATTCTAGCTTTCCTATCATGGCACATTAAGTGACTTAAACTCCAAATAATTTCCAAGGAAGGTTGATCTGTTACCTAAAAGAAGACCAAAGTAGGAATTTCAGTCCACAGTACGTCATGTGACCATTCCTCTGGTCATCACAAAAAAGTAAAATATTTAACTGCCTCTGTGGCAGCTGTAGTAGGATGGGACACACTACTGGCCAGGCGTGATGGCTCACACCTGTAATCCCAGCACTTTGGGAGGCCCAGGCAGGCAGATCACTCAAAGTCAGGAGTTCGAGACCAGCCTGGTCAACATGTGAAACCCTGTCTCTACTAAAAACACAAAAAATAACCGGGCATGGCGGCACACGCCTGTAATTCCAGCTACTCGGGAGGCTGAGGCAGGAGAATCGCTGGAACCTGAAAGACAAGAGATTGCAGTGAGCCAATATCACACCACTGCACTCCAACTGGGGCGACAAAGCGAGACTCCATCTCAAAAAAAAAAGAAAAAAGAATGAGACACACTGCTCCTTAGTCAACGGTGTTGGGGTCATGTTTATAGATGATGGAATGAAGCAGCGGGGGACAGCTTCTGGTTGGAGTGGCTTGGAGGCTGGAGCAGCTGAGTTTTAACAAGCATCAGAGGTCGGAAATACTTGGCTAGATCAAGGAGCCACACAGCACCATAATGCCACTGGCACATCTCCCAGAACAGGGTAAGTGTGTGAGGTTTTCTGAAGCAATTGTAATGGTGGTAGAGGCCTGATCAAGAAACACAGATATGGCTGGGTAAAGCATTTCCTCAAAGAAATCTTACCACAGCAAAAACTTAAAGTGTTGCAGAGACCCAATTCCAGCTTTCCCATAACCCAAAACCCTTCTCCCAAAGAAATCCAGGAAAAGGAACCATAAAAATGTAATTTTAATGATACAGAAATAGTATATGTACATTTCTTTCCACAGCAGCACTTCATTCATCTCTAAAAAATTTAACAAAATTAAGGCTAAATCAGAGTGAGCTGATAGGAAGGGGTATTCTATATGGTGGTCTTCTTAAAGAATGTTCTCATAAATATAGGATGTTCTGCAGACAAAAAATAAAAATAAAACATGCTGAACAAGATACTAGAAATGGGAAATGCCGTAGAAAATGAGCCCCTTTCTACC